GGTTCGGGGTTTGGGGTTCTAGGGTTATAGGGCTAAGGGTTGAGGGTTCGGGGTTTGGGGTTCTAGGGTTTTGAGGGGTTTAGGGTTTAGGGTTCGGGGCTTGGGGCTCTCGGGTTATAGGGTTCGGGGTTTAGGGTTTAGGGTTCGAGGTTCTAGGGTTATAAGGTTCATGGGTTCGGGTTCGGGGTTGGGGTTCTAGGGTTGAGAGGGGTTTAGGGTTCGGGGTGTGGGTGTAGGGTTTAGGGCTCAGGGTGGTGACGGTTCTTCTGCACGCATGCACTACTACCCTGGGGGTTCAGGTTTAAGGTTTAGGGTAGGGTTTAGGGTGTAGGGTTTACGGTTTGGGGTTTGGGGTTTAGGGTGTAGGGTTCCACTGTAGGGGTTTAGTTTGTTGGTCGTGCCGCTGTCATGACAGCATGTGCAATAGCAACGGTAAAATGCGCAGATGGAACATGTTTGTGGAAGCAGAGCACGAAAAACTGAACGGCTTTGAAGGCCCACGACTTTTCATCCGGCACTGCACATGGAACACAAACACACCAAATGCCCGAACATGAACTGCTCCAACCTGAACCGGCATTCCCATCCGGCATACTCTGGATTTGCTATCCTACATTTTGCTCTCAAAGGAACCGCATACAGGCGGTTGAGATTTAGGGTTGAGGGTTTAGGATACAGGCGGTTGAGATTTGGGGTTGAGGGCTTAAGACACATAACATATCCTGACTCCTTCGCCGCAAGCGGGTTCACAAAAAAAACACAATTCGGTGAAACCCAAAACCCTAAACCCCCAAACCTGCCTTTTCGGAACCCAAAAAACCTGTAATTAGTCGTGAGCTTAAAAAAAAAATGAACCCTGGGACCTCTCACCCCCACAACCCCGCAAGCCTAATGTAGGGACCTTAATAATTAGAATAGGGTTTTGGGGTAGCTTATACTATAATTATAACAAGGAGCCCGCAAAACAGTAGAGGCAATTATTTAGGCCCCTAGATTACTGCTTCACCCCTGACCCGAAACTTGTTGCCGCCAGGGAGCTCATAAAGTAAATGATCAATCCCAGGGCGTAGATGTCAACCTTCTGAGTTCTTGTCACCGACACTGAATTTCTGTAAAGTTGACGTCGGAGCAACGAATTACTTTCTGTATTTGCCCTCAGGGCCCGTGTACCCATGTAGCAGACACGTTGGCCGCTAAAGTACCTGTAGAGAGACCACGTTAAGGCCAAGTATAAACTACAACGGTACATTGACTTACAGGGTTGTGTGTATGTTATCTATGTATACATATATATGTATGTATATATGTAACTATATATATATATATCTCTCTCTCTCTCTCTCTCTCTCTCTTACTTAGCAAGAGCCCAGCCTTCTCATCATAGGCTTGATGCCTCACCACCTCCGGAGCCATATACCGCCAGCTGCCAATGCCACCTCCGGGCTGAAAGGATGTAAATCCAGAGGTTTCACGGTTTACGGTCTATACGGAAGTTTATGCAAGGTTTAGCGGTCAGCTTTTAAGGGGCTCTGGGTTTAGTATGGCTCAGGTTTTAGGTGTCTGGGGTTTTAGGGTTTAAATCTCGAGGGTTCAAGGCTTAGGGTTTCGTTCGTTAGAATCCGCCGACCCTGGCGGCGTGTTG